TTGATGGTAAAAGCTATGAGAGCGATTGTAGCAGCAAAAAAAAGAATGAAAATCTTGTTAAAACGAATGAAAACCCTATTAGGCTCTGATGAGCTAATGATATTCACAATGAGAAACCAGGATAATGAAGAGTGTTGCCATCAACTAACCGCATTAACATATTTGAGTTAAAAATCGCAGTGGCGTTCTATCATAACATAACAACAGCATGAAATACTAATTTCCCGATCCCTCCATTACCCCTTGATACCTCCAAATTACTCAAAATGGGCAACTTCACCTCCTATGAGAACCACTGCTTTGGAGAATGTTGTTTTATCCTTCGGAAGCTATCAGTCATCCATCCGTTTCTCATTAATCAAATAATTTCCTACCTAACAAATAATTTAATGAACTGAGTTGAGTTTTAGTTTTTCAGTGAATTTGCTGAACTGTTTCAAAAAAATGAAGGGTTTTGAAAATACTTACTAGAGCCACCGTTTCGAGAACGTATATTAGAACTGCGAGAGTAAGACGATGGAAATGTGATGCAGCAAAACTTCCAAGAGGTGCAAACAAAACGACAATAGGTACACAAACAGCCAGATATTGCCATGATTCCTTAAATTTCAGCAATTTTATTTAATCAAGACTTATTGTCAGGCATCTAGCAATGGATATTCACTTTTCTTGTGCAAACTACATGAGTGCTAGCGGGATTCAACGCTGCAGGATTCTAGACTTTCACTGCTTTTTCATATCCCCTATTGAAACGGGGGATAATGGGATCGTGAGGTGCAGATAACCGTACTTCCTACAATTCCATCAAATCATGATAAGATCTACAATAATACGAGGACCGTTATCAGAGCTATTATCAGAACATCAAGCTTCTCTAATCGGAAGCGATTTAAATAAAGTCAATATGTCCCGGAGCCGGAAATTCCAAAAGCACAAAGAAAGATGAACCACAAAAAGTCATCCCCGCTGATTTTACCGCTCTAGAAAAGCACTCTTTCGGATGAATGCAGCATTACCTTTTTACACCACCCCCTTGCCCTCTCCTTCTCTTACCCTAACTAGCACTGGTGTGAAGCAGATAAAAAATGTACTTCTGAAATATCGTTATCCATAAAACGTCTCCAAAAAAAGCCGAACATGCTGTTAACCGCCATCAACACAACAGACGTTGGTGTAGCGACCTTTTCACTGATACGGAACAGCAGTGTTAAAATCGAGAACGAATACACATCAACACCTGATCCAGAAAACCCAGTGAATATTCCTGAATTTGTTTTCATTTCAATCAAATTCAAATTTTGTCCTGCTGCACATATTTGTTCATCACTCCTGAAAGTTTTCTTTCAAATGATTTTCATTTACAACTGTTCCATTGGCTGTCTGCTCTCATTTCTTGTGAGTTTTTTTTTTCTTTTGGTGAAGTGTGCGAATTGCAAAAGAAGTTAACGAGCAGGATGTTCATTCGAGGAGTGATACTTCTACTTGTGTACCTCCAACAAATCCATTCACTACCAGAAGTATCGCTTTGACGGGCGTAAATTGTTGAATGGAATCGAATGTGATACGTTTTTTCTCATAGTTCAATAAGTATAATGCAAGTGCGAATGAGAAAAAGATCGACACAAAGATCATTTTCTTCTGAGCTGCTGACAAGAAGTCATCAACTACCTGCAATAGCAACACCACAGTATGATCAAGATCATTATTACTGTTTTATCATGACTGTTTTATCGTTAATTAAGCAATTAATTAATTAATTAGTTATTAATTTCAGGTATTCAATAGCAATAAGGTCAGTGAATCAGTTGAATTATTATGCTTTACTTCATCAAAAACTTTTTTCCTACTGTTTCAGTTATTCTTAAAAAAAACTCTTCATCATTGAGAATGCATTCAGAAAGTGTTGTGTGCCAAAAATAAGGCATTAGTCATTTGTCTTTAGCATTCATTGAATTCTTATTGTTAGCTAAATGGAAATATTGAACATTGATCGATAAAAAATATCGATCGTTATCGAAACATGTTTTTGAAATCGTCTGAAATTCCGCGTTCAGCAGATTAGTAGGACTGATTTAAGAGTTTCGATGAAATTGTTTATGTGATAAAAACTCGCCTCTAAGCCGAAAATAATTCCTAAAAGTGCTCCAATTGTTGTGAAAATAATTGAATGCCATTCAACGGTGATCGACATGAAGAATATTGTAAAAGATGCAGCAGTCAAGCCTTAAACAACCGTTGTTAATTACTGAATATATGTCAGTTTCAACTGCTTTATTTAATCATAACTGAACACATCTTTTTTATCACACTATTTGATCCAGAATCAAACTCGATTCAGCATAGCTTAAGTATAATATGTCTCCTGTTAGGTCGGTTTAGAATTCAATACCCCTCATGCAATGTGCAGTAGTTAATCGATTTTTATGGCTAAAATCACTCGGGAACTATCGTAATTTTATGAACGAGCATAACTGAAAGCCATGATAATTGAATGCATTGTCTTTAAGTGGAGAACCATTTTGGATTTTAAATACTTCTTCTAGTCATGTCTGCTGGTGGCTTTCAATACAAATTTATCATCGATCCCTGTAACACATATACAGGCGATCTTTATTATCTACATGAGATTTCTTGAATGCGTGAAGAATTCCTAAATACAACAAATCTTTTTGCAGACATTAAATTTATCAGAAATGCAAATCGTACACTTACTTCCATCGTACACTTTGTCAGGTTTGCAAAAAAACCCCAAACCAGTTTCCGCTCAAGAATACACAAGAACTGGTCACTAAAAGGCTGACCGATAAGTTTTCAGAGAGAACTACCGGTTCTCTTTCTAATGATATCATACGCGTCTTTGTCCTCGTAATGGTGATGCACACCTACCTATCCGTGAGTGCATTGTTGCGTGCACACAGTTACAGTAAAGCAGAAATATATTTAGTAGTGGCCAAATATGTTGTCATTTGAGTGTATTCTTCTTATTGAAGTAATTTTTGCAATGACAAATTAGGTTGTTCATGAACGAATAAATAAGCAATTGAATGGAAGAATTGTTTGAGTGCTGCAATATGAAATAAATTAATGGACAAATGCTGAATAAAATAAAATATACCGCATGATTGTATCATCAATGAGAAATCGCGTGCCACCATCGGACTGATATTGAGAGCTATTGTCATCACAGGAAATGCTATGGCACCTCCACCTTCAGTGGTCATTCCTTAATTGCCCATTACTATTATCATTTGTATGGTCGTTGTTTTTGCCACTTATTAGACTGGCATTTTCAATGGTTACCAATGCAAGATTGTCGCGATGTGAATTGAAACAAAATGACAGCTTAATTATAAAAGCAGACGTTGTTCTCTGAAGATGACTAATAGAATAATCTCACCTCCAATAAGGGCTCCAAATACCATTACAATGCTCAGTATATATTTTTCTTCGTATAAGTAGAAAAGATTGTAGCGAAATGCAATTAACCAGTAGAACGTTTGAAAAAATATAAATGGAATAGCAACGCCTGAAACGATGCGATTGTGGTGAAAATGAGCTTGAATAAAACAATAATAAACATGAAATTAATGAATTGGAATTCAAAGATGTCCCATTCAAGAAGATTTCTCATTGTTATCTCCACTTTCTATTCGAAATTTTGAATGCTGACATAAACGGTATTTGAGAATTACTGATACAACGCAGATTTTAGGCTTGAAACTGCATGAAATAACAGTTAACAATTAATTTCACCCAATAAGCGACGATGTTTTGATATGAAATGCTTCATAGACGAAGCATCTCCTTCTTTGCCATTTTCTTCACTGGATTTTGAGTTCGATAATTTTTGACCTAAACATAAATCAGGGAAATATTTTTATTCTACTTCATACGCTTCGGCATTGCATCAATTCAACCGCATATTTGTAACATTCATTAACGGAAGCATTCATTTAAAAATTTTGTTTTGAAAGCATTTATTTATGAAAGACGATATCGTACTATCTTGCATCCACTAAATAATTTGTTCAGACTGAAATCAATCCAGAATAATAATACTTTGCAGCACTGACTGATGTTGGCTCCATTTTTCAAATCTATTTCAAATCCGTTTTCTGCGTTCAGTCCAAATATGCAACACATGAGATAAAAAGTAAAGGTGAAGTTTACCTTCGTAGAAGTATTTCGTGACAAATTTTTTTATTTGAAGGATACGGTCGTTATTCGTCATCAGTGAATATTTGAAACGTGCGTCGATCAAGTTGAGGAATATGTGGAATGACATTGAGACGCGTTCATATCATCAATTAATAGATCAACAAAAACAACGCATCACATCCTTTCTGAGATCGCTTCCCCTTCGTGAAGTTTTTGTCTTATGTTACGGTGCAGTAGAATTGAATGGAATTGAATAGCTATTTGAATAGTTGTTTGAATAGCTATTGAACAATTATTGAATAGCTATAGCTATTTGTATTTCTTTTTTAAAGATCTTTCAACACACTTTTATAAATTTTCGAAGGAACTGTGAAATTCAGATTAAAGAACTAGTCGTATTAGGAAATTTGCATTCGCGCATGAATGATTGTGTTGTTCATAAACGAATGAGAAATATACTTCATAATGATGAGAGTGGCGAATAAAATGGAACTGCTTCTCTCTTAAAAGAAATGGACAGAATCTAGTAATTGTAATCTCACAATCAAATCATATTCGCATCAACTGATAAAATGTCGACCAGAGAATGAACTCATTGAGAAGTGCTGTTCGAATAAAATAAATTTTTCAAACATATACGAATGAATGATTTGACAGCAGCATTGTTCGTGGATTATATTTTCTAATTTCTTTTATCATCGTATTCAATCAAACGTCCAGTAATGATACGGATATAAGAACGATCACTTTTTCATATGCAGATTTTGATTGAGTTTGGTATTTGCAAAATGATTCTAGGTGTGGTTGGACGAGGGAGGAATAATTAAATACAGTTTATTAAGAAGAATATTTCTGAATTTGCAATACTGGTGAATACAGACTTATAACGGTTAGAGGACCAATCGCTGGCCAATTAATATTATAATTTTAACGGTTAGAGGGCCAATCGCTGGCGCATCACATGTTCATCGAATAACTGGTGAACTTCTCTGATCTGATCTCCTCCTCCGGCTCCTTCTTTTATGTCCTTCATTTACTCTCCTTTTCTCACGTTCCAGAAAGATCATATTCGTAGACAAAATCTTACGGTCCAATTTCTCAGCTTTCAAGCAATGCCTTTGTTTTGGCTATTATCATGCATTTTATCTAAATATGCAACGACTACGTTGCCTTTCCCATATGTTCATCTTTATGTTTTGATTTGAACCGTTTCATCGAAATGATGTTTTAGGAATTCGAACAATACAATGTTTACACTCCAAGATGTATTGCTCAGCAACAATTCTCGGCGAATCACTTTGCAAATATCGAACGCCTAACTCATTACCTCTCAAATTTACTGATCTCGAATAGATGAATGATAGATGTTGATTTTGACGTTAGATCGTGATGCGTCTTTAATGAATTGAGTGGAGAAATTTTCTTTCACTGTACTGCATTGCATCGTGATAAGGATTTTGTGGCTCAGAACCGCGCATAATGAAGTGATTTTTATCACTGGCACACTCTCAAGATATGTGTTCAGATCTTTGAAATGCATTATTGCCTGACCAAAAATCAACATCATACATTTGTATCTGATGCGCTCTATAAGAATCGTGGATTATTTGTACAATGAAACGGTAAACTAAAAATTTTCCTCAAAATTCTCTTGCGAACAGCCTTTAATTTTGCTCACCAAACGGTTTATATATACCAGATCCCAGCAAAATAAACTATACAATAACATAATACTTTCACAAGCATCGAATATCAACTTGACTGGTGCCATTGGACATAGAGAAGGCTAACAATCCGAATATCTCAATACAATTCGGAAAAATTTGCAAAAGAACTATAAATGGAGATGAATAAAGTTCATTCCTGGATTCTACGTAAAAAAGATGCCTCAGAAGGTTAATTTTTCACCTTTGCATAATTTATTAGTTACATAGTGCAATTAGAAGCCGTTAACCAGCAGGAACACGGTTTTTTCGAAAGGGAGTTGACCGAGGTTTATTGCATATGAGATGTTGATTTCTTGTGATCAAACGTGATAGTAAGAAACTGAAACGACCAATGCAAACTCTGCTGCCAACTAATAACAGCAATGTGACGATAAACCAATTTGATTGATTGACATGAATACTTCGATGAAATTTTTTGCCCTTGTAAGTGCTGTATGTAAAAAGACTGTAGACTTCTTGGCTCCATCACTGTCATTTATTTGTGTTTGAACTGGAAAATAATTCTCTACATCACCCGATGATACTATCAGTCACTTTTCATTTCCTCTTCAGACAATCATCCATGTTGAAAGACATTCAAAGAAACCATTGTAAAGGGCAGAATATAGTTTAAGAATCTTGTTTTCATGAAACGTTCACTGATAACATTCATTCTTTTATAGTCACATACGTGCATTTGCTGTGATCTGAGCAAAATTGTAGGGAAATTGTCGTTTGTGCTCATTAAACATTCTGATCAATGATTGATTGTAATTGTAAGTCAAATCAAAAACTCGAGAAACACATCTTTAAAATATACAGAAGTGCCTCTAACCAAGTAATCGCCTTGTCGCAATTGTGTCATGTTGTGTTTACATTTTTATGCTGAAGTATCTTGCTTCATTAAAATCGATTACTTATGAGTTTATAAACGATGTCCTCATAAAGAATCTAAACCATTTAGTGATAACTTCATACGTAGTATTTACTATTTTCATGACAATTGTTTCGTGTTTACATCTTCTGTCTCTTTCAATTATCTACCGTCTTTTCAACGAATTTCTTCATAACTCTCTTTTAGGTACTTCAATTTTTGAGCATATTTTACTTTTACCCATCTTGTAACGTTCATCACTGACATTTTATGTTGTTCGTCATTTAAAAAAAAAACTTATTTTGGTCATTTATTGGTCATCTCAAAAAATTTCGAATGAGGGCAAAAGAAACATCAGACTCATGGATCGGCCATATTTGTCGCAAATTCATAAGCTGTTTGAATGCGATTCATTTATTTCATAACAAAGCGACGAACTAATCGCCTTTTATCTCTTTCTTCTCATAGAGCAGGGAGGACTTCCGCCGACCATCGATCGAAAAATTGTTGATTTTGAAAAGTGTTCATCAGCTCATGTGAACGTTTTAAGGATGCGGATGATGGCTGTATCACTGAAGTTACTCATAAAATTCGTCATAATTTCTTATTTGAATGCACTTATCAATGGCGAGTGTAACTTACCCAGTGATTTCTGGTGCGATCATGTAAAAATTGAGAAAGAATGTGGAACGGAACGATACTGTGCAACATATCGCAAGAATATGCGCAATCGACCGTTCGATATTAAGGTTTTTTCATTGGAGACTGAACTTACTTAACCAATCTTAGCAAGAATACAGCAACACGCAGAATGCTTTACGTATTCAGTAATGACCAGAATAAATTATATTTATCGATGAGAATTATTACCGAGTGTAACTGATTAATGGCGTCTTATGCTTTCCGACGAACAATTTTTTGTTGCTCTAGGTTTTCTGACATTCTAAAAAGTTGCTGTTTAAATATTTCTTTATATTGACTGATCACATTAAGAAAAACAAATTATCTGCGTATAACTCGTAATATGTAGTTGATAATAGAGAGACTGCTTCAGAATTCAGAAAAATTAATTCATCATACTGTAGTTGTGCAAGGAGCATTTTTTTGATCAACGTTTAAGAAGCAATGCTTATTGTTAGCAAAAATGCTTCTGAGTAAAAAAACAAGCATATTTTATCTTTCAGATATTTTTGGATGGAAATGCAAACGATTCGCAAAATTTTATTACCGAAAAGCTCTACCCAAATTTGGTTTCACATCCCGAAAGAGCAACAATTCGTCTGTTCCCAGTAACCTTAAACAAGCACTCTTACAAACCGAAAAAATGCGTGTTTGACGATCCAGAATGCAAGGTAGGATTTCGAATGGAAACGAAACACACGTTTCGTGTTCATTGTTCTGAGGTGATGTTCTGTGTGAACAGAAGTGTTCATTCAGTTGTTGATTGCAGTTGAACGAATTACTCTCTTGTGCGATTGAGTATCTGAATGGTGAGAAACTTCACCACTTTGTGTTTTGTGTTGAATTGAGCATCAAATACAATCGGACTGCCGAGGAGAGCGAAATATCATGCGGCAATGAGATTATATCAGATAATGAACAACAGTTGATTAGGTGATTAGTTTATCTTGATCAGCTATTGTTTTTCCGTCGTATCTGACAATGAGTGCACGCAGAAATGTAATATTTCCATATTGCATTCATAATCGTTTCAAGGTATTGCATGAAATCATCACGAGAAAACGGACAAGAAGCAATAGTGGAAAAAATGGCTCGAACATTGAAACCTGCAACATATCTTTTCTTGCCATGGATATCGATCAACGACAAAAGTTTAGCTGGAATGCAGGTGTGTTCCAGTAACTTGTTGGTCGTTCGTGCCACAATAGAATAGTGCGTGATCACAGCAAACTCTTTCCAATAGTTCATTTGCAAATATAACCCCAGCGGTCCCCTCAAAAGTATCATTTGAATCCGTTCATGTATTCATGCGAACTTCCTCTCATTCAACGCTTATCTCATGAATTGAAAACAGAGTTTTAAAAATCAACAACGCCATTTTTAAATAAAACATTTGAGCTAATAGCAAGATGGAAATTTCAAACAGCTTACGAAATTATGCCTAATTCAGGCGTATCAGTCAATGCTAAAATCAAAACTGCTCACTTGGCATAAAGTTTTGAATAAGAAAACGAATCGATCAGTGACACGCACTGGTTCACGATGCATGCTGCCACCTGATTTCTGGTGTGAATCCACGCAGGTTTCGACTTTACGTATAAGTTTTTCGTCTAACTTCTCGTAGTAATATTTACAAACATTCAATAATATTCACAGATTTGATACTTGATTTTATGGAAAAACAAGAAATTTTGTCAATAGAAATTTTGAGAACCCAATGATTTCTCAACTGATATTATTTTCCCTGTTTCATGTCAAAATTTTCACATATCATTAAGTAAAGTTAGAAAAAGTATTTGCTAAAAGCAATTTATGATTGGAGCTATTTCATCACTAAATTTTTTGAGTAGAAATATCTTCAACCATTTTTTTTGTTGACAATTTGCATGCGATGTGAATGTGAACGAAAGATCGAAGTTCACTAATTCTTATTCTTTTTAATGTTTGTATTGTAACATGCATACTGCGTTCAATTTCACTAAACAGTTCTATTGATGAAGAATCAAAGATTGACCCAAAACAAGTTAATGATAAATCGAAAGATGTTATATCAATAGATCGTCAACGAATGCTTCGATACGAGCAAATGTGCCCTTTATAAAAGAAATTCCAATGGACAACGGATTCAGTTGACTTTATTATACGCAACGCATTGTCCGTTTTCTCAAGCAACGATTGTCGACAACTTCTATGAGAATGTTTGGTTGAACAAAAAATTACGCAAATTTTTCAAAATCAAGTATCACTCTCGCTTCATTCTTCTTTTTTTTCAATGTTTGATCGATAACTTTCTCAACATAAACTCTCATTGATTTATTCGCATTTAATCAGAAATCTTAATCACAAATGAATTTGAAGTTACGAATAAAACAATGCACTGAGTTTATTGTTAAAGAAGCAATTACATTTGGAATTGCTGTCTCATTCAGTGAAACGAGTAAACGTCCGAGTATTCAGATTCCTTCCTTACGGAAACGGTAAAGTGGACAATGACGGCAATGTGACGTGTCAACATGGACTTGCTGAATGTGTCGGCAATACGATACATGACTGTGTTCAGGTTATCATTAAGTTTATGCGTCTCTCCCTGCACAAAAAATTCTTTTGGCGTAAACATCAGCAGATCAAACGAAACTTCATTAACAGGTCCATTCGAAAGAGTCGCCTGAGAATGCATTTCAAGAACAACAGAGTTCGACTTTGATACAGAAGAAACTGACAAAAAAACAGGAACGGCAAACAAAAATACATTCAAATAAGGTGTCTATTTCAATTCACAGGCTAAAACAGGCTATGAAGAGACGATCGAATATATAGTGTGCCATATGCGTGAAGTACGTGAACGTGGAAACGATCGAAGTGCATTCGAGAAGTGTTCCAATAAACTGGGATGGTCATCAGCAAAAAAGCATTCTATCAGGTGAATAATTCGAATTTTGATCATAAAAATTCATTTGTACATATGCATTACTATAACTATAGTTTTTTTAGCTGATCAACTAAATTAGATGAAATTTTAATGGATTTATAAAAACTTATACAAGAACTGAATACAGAAAGGAATATGAAAGACGATAGTGATTCACTGACAAATTAACTCATAGAGACAACTGGTTGGTTGATTTAGCAGAAAACAAAGTTTACGAAATGAGACTTGATGCTGTTTTATTCAAGGAAATGCACGAATTCTGAGGAGGGCCACAAACTACAGTTGCGAACCGCATACGCAAGTGAAAATCTAGAGCCTGAACTGAAGCATTTTATACCATGGTTGGTCATAAACGACTACAGTACACTTGAAATGCAAGGCTATATCAAGGATCTTGCAAATTTCCTTTGTCGATGGTATTATGGCGCAAACGATGCACGAAAAGAGTGCAATTTATGTGAATATGCACCCAGTCGATGTCACAACAACTTAAACACTTATTAACGAAGCTTATTCTGGACCAGTCATCTTCCGAACGAATAAATTCAATTTTAGGTTTTAGTCGTAGAAAATGTTCAGTATATCTCAGCTATATCATTCAAAAGGTGCCAGTTTGTTGAGATTCTTGTAAAGATTATTGATAAGTGTAGTTTATTTTGTAGAATTAGCATTCTAACTGAGACTGATAATCAATCACAGCATTGTGTTGTTGCACAGATGGAATATATGGAGGTACGATGATATCGTGTGCATTCAAACTGAATGAAATATGGCCAAAATCAACAGCATATTCATAGCAGAAAACGGCTATGTAGTTGATGTCAAAAATTGTTTGTCCATCGGCTAATCTCACCAACAAATTTTTGTCGCCAATGTAGTTTTCACGTAATGGACAATGTCTGCAAATAATCGCAATGAAATGAAGTGCAGTTTTACAGTGATTTTATAAAAGAATGTTGTGATGGCTCAATAATCGAACACATATATTGTACCGTTGTTTAGTGTCTCGTCCAACGACATAACCTCTTTTTCCGGTTTCTTTGTCTACATCACCTTCACCGGCAAAGATCCATCCATCTAAAAAAAATTTGCTTCTGTTTATGCAGATGTTGATTTGGTAACATCAGATGATGGCACTGCGCTCCCAAAATGAATCGTAGTGAAAGCGAAACGAATATTCGGAATAATCATGGGTGAGTTAATAAACTGAAAGGTGATTGCTCTGGTTGAGCCATTTGTTGCTGCGTGAATCGGATCATATAAGAAAAGCAGATTCTGAAAAATGCTTTAAAATGAAGTATTCATCATATTGTGCATTCATACTGCAAACACAAACTGATTGAATATGGATGTTCGTGTCAGCAATATAATCCTCTGTAAGAAAGGATATGCCATAAACACTAACCGGGTGGTTTGGTGCCCTCAAAGCTGAAATTTGGAATAAGCAACGTTTTGGTATCAAGAACGGCAACTGGCGCAGATGAGACATTGTAAAAAGAACCGATCAGTCCTCGATGAATGTTCTGTTGATTACGAATGCAACAATAACTTGATGGAGCTTCCTTGTTCAACTTTACCACAGATACATACGACTGAAATTTGAATAAGTTATTCCTATCGTATAACCCAAAATAAAAACAAAGTATGGGCTGCCCCCGCGGGGATTTCAAAATACCGCGCTCCCGTGTGAGATTCCATTCGAGTACCCCCTCGTCTGTGGCGACTGAAAATTCCTCTGCATCCGTGAGGATGATAATTCACTGGAAATCGTCACGGCCCTCTCCACGCAATGGGCTTCCCGAAAACTAATGCAGATCTCTGCAAGAGGTGTAAATGCTGTAAAGTTTTTCTAAGAGTGGTTTGATAATAGAAGAATCAGCGAAGCATCAAATCTAGGCCTCAATAAAGGACCGACAACAACATAGTGGAGCACTCTCTGGTTTAATAATGTGAATTATAAGCGCTAGTCATAATTTCGCATGGAACATTTATTAATAAGCGTGAATTATATACTGCCGTTACATCTAGAATCTGAGATGGCCATGTTTTTTTAAGCAAGCATCACGGTGCCTGAAAGTAAGGTTAAATAATTGTTACTGTGATTTTTACCGTCTGAACCGTCTTCAAAGCCATTACTACATACTGATAGAAAGAGAAGGCAAAGTAGGCGAGTCAACTGCGCTCTCAGCTCACTTGGGTGATTGGCTGAAAAAGGCTGAGAAGCACTAATTATACTGAGACAGTACAAGGGAACGACACTTTTGGACACCATGCATTCTTGTCACACCATCAGGTTATTAACGGCCTAGAAATGGCTTGATGAAGCGGGCGGAAGAAGGCGATTCGCCTACAAATGTGCTTTTAATGGGGCAGAAATTTTCTCATAAGTGAGGATTCGAGAATGTAAAGATGGAGTTACTAATCAATTGGGACGTTGTTCTTTTCCTAGTCACCTCAGAACTTTTCCATGTTATTTTCAAAATGCTTAATTGATCATAGGGAATTGATTACTTTAATAAAATAGATAATTAATTGACAGTAAACAAACTTATTGATCATTGAAATAATTCCGATGCTTTTAGAGAATTCACTACAAGGGTGATCAGCTCTGCCTAAGGCTGTAAATCATCTATGTACGCCGCCGCCTCCATCAGTAATATCTTCTTGAATTTTCAACTAACTCATCGCCATTAATAAAACTAGAAGTGTTTGTATGATATTGTCACTCAGCTATATACTTTCTCATTCACATGCACATGTGAAATAAGTGAATACGTCGGCTCAGCTGTGCATCATCGATGTGGTGGTCGTGGTTGTTCGTTGTGCTTTACTTGTCTACTTTGATTCAGTTGTATTGCCATTCGTTTCGTATTGGAGTGAGCAAATCAGAAAGTGCAAGTAAATGGATGACGATACGCGTAAGTTGTTACTGTTTGTTCAGATTATTGATACCTTTGTTTTATTGACGTCAAAACTGGATCAATCTACAGTGTATTAAAAGCCATCTGGCCGCCCCATTCTTCCGTAATTAAGCCATCGAAGAAGGCATCACAAGAACTACAAGAAGGTTGTAAGTGTAGATTATGTGAAAAAAATTGGTGAACTGATGAGAGTGAATCGATAGCTTTAGAACCAATTGTTTTCATTAAATGGTATTTTTTGAGGCATTTTAGTTGAAGCACCATGTCGATGTCATTTCCGAGCCAGTTCTTCCGAACTGCTCGGAACCAGTATGCACAGGACCGTTATCAAATATTTATTGCTCGGGTAAATTGGTTCATGCTGCCTGGGCATTTGGATTACAAAATACATGTCCCGGTGATATGATGCTACAATCTCCAGATGCTATTATCAATGCACTAAATAAGTTTGTTTTCTTTTAGCTTTTTTTTTGAAATTTATCGTTTTCAATATAATTCCACAATAATCTCTTATTTGTCATCGGACATCAGAGTCAATAACCGTTCAAGAAATTATTCGTTGAAGATTTAGTTTTCAGATTAGAATACCCCTTGAAACGAGACGATTTCAAACGGTTTTGTTCGCAAAATTTTGCACCTTTTCCATATTTGAAGGTTGCAAAGTTAATTGATTGGACTGAAGATCCACCGAATTTACGCCGGGTGAAAGACACGAAATTGAGGTTTGCTGATCCATAAATGATGACCGATACTGGATAATTAAGAAAGATTTCAATAATTCGCTTTGAATGATAACATCAGTTCCTACTGAGAAGAATTATTGGAGGGAGGGTCAATTTCTTTCGACACAAACTGCTCCGCTTTCATTTTTGTCTCAGCGAATGAAACGTTTCAATCTTCGTATCCTCACTTTTTCGTTCGCATTAACGTTGATCATTTTGAGCAGTCTCTTAGTTATTATTATTAATAGCTTTAATGGTGAATGGTCAAGGCGAAGACGCTTATTTGGAAATAAATTTCACTTTTTTGGTACTATCGTAGAGTATTCTGCGTTTTTGAATTAAAGCGTTCTTTCTTAATTTCTACTGAATTGCACATCAGGTCACTGGCAAAGCGACTGAATGGCATTTGGAAATTTCTGGGTAGAGAATTCGATGATAAAGTCAGGGAAAAACCGGAAATCTTTCCAGTTTTACCGGTACCTAATCCATTCGTAGTGCCTGGAGGTTTTTTTCAAATGTACTTTTATTGGGATTCCTATTGGATTATGAAAGGTGAGTTGCATCCAGAGTTTATGATATTGATCTTTCGCCATTGATCAGGAGTTATTAAGTAGTGCTCAGTTACGTTCTCAATTTGTCGAAATTTTTTCCCAGGTATGCAAATTGAGTGATAGCTGGCGCATGATTTACATATTTTGTTTTTTTGTTTCTCCCGTCTCTCCAGCACAGTCAATTATCTCATTCAAAATGTAGTTGAATCATGCTACTATCGAAAGTTGTAATACTTTAAGAACATAATTGAATTTCGGAAATTGATCTTATCCCATCGGTCAGGTTTGCTGTTCTCGAATATGACAGTAACTGTTCGTAACATGATTGAAAACTTCGCAACAGTCATACGTTACCACGGATTCATTCCGAATGCAGGCAATATCCAGTAAGTGAATTTGTAATTAAACAATTTTTTCTTGCCCTCTTTCCTCTTATTATCTTAAGTATATGATTAAGAGAATAAGATGATTTAATTTTTTTAAAAATAATGATGTTTTCCAATTTTCCGCTTGGTATTGGTATTATTCACATATGTACCATTACTTATTTGCACTTGTCACAGTCACGTGATTGAAATTTGCATGCATCATAAAAATGTGATGTGTTGATTTCGTTTGAGGTTATCGAGACGAAGTCAACCGCCACTCTTCACTCAAATGCTTGCTGATTATTATCAAGCTACTGGCAATGAAACTTTTCTGAGTGAATGTCTACCGCTAGTCGATGCCGAGTTATCGTGGTGGCTTGCCAATAGATCGGTGGTTGTATCGACCGATTCCAGCCAGCACTATACAATGTTCCAATATCGGGTTATCTACGTTTTGTTTGTCGAAAAATTTCCATTTTGCATCTTTCGTTCATTCATACTTGCAGAATGTAATGTATAATGTGATAAGATCCGTGCTGCTGCCATTAATGATCACAAGCTGGCCGATGCAGGTTCATTTCTGACATGTTCAGGCTGCATCGAATTGCCCTCGGCCTGAGAACTACTTGGTGGATTTGTACAACGGTCTGAAAGGCACGGGTGGTGCAGAGTTCATTTGGTCGTCAATAGCGAGCGCTTGCGAATCTGGTCTTGACTTCAGCTCGAGATGGTTCGCGTATAGTGGAGCACATTCACGTAATGTCTTCGTATTGTTCTCGTCTCAAAACCGATCACGATATATTTCTGCGTGACTGGAAGTGTTTTCGATACGTCTTCTAGTAAAATTAATGGCAATTTGTCGTCAAAATCTGAATGCTGATCACGATATTCATGAGAGACTATTGAAATTTCAGCGGTATTGAAATTCGAATGGGGACGAATGTCATATGCTTCTGGTACAAAATCATCCACTAAACTGATTTTGTATCGTGCTGATGTGATTGATTCATCGCTAATTTTTAGTAACGACTTTTTTCATTGATCAGTCAGTCCTGATTGATAGATTTGAGCAATGAAGGCGTTGACATGTTGACGAAATCAGAGTTTCAAACTGTCGCTCGACTTCATTCCAGATTCGAAATATTCCATACGAACGAATAAGATTTTGCCGGTCGATCTGAATGTGTTTATGGTTTGGAATTATGATACCGCAGCAGACCTATATCACAGTCTGGGTTCTGATAGGTGGTTCATTTCTCGATTGTTCACACTTTTTGTTGTACGAGGAAATGGGCAAAGGGTAAATACCGTTTTAAAAAAATGAGAGTTCTGAAGCGTCGTCAATTTTGCTGGATTGAAATTCATTCAGCTGCGTGTAGGTAACCGTGACTGTTCATTATAAGATGTAGTTCGTCGTTAGATAATTTTTTCGTAGTGTTGGTTTTCGATTCCATAACATACCATATTGGTTTGCATAAGTAAAAGCAGTATAGAATATTGAGTTCACAACTGACAAACACTTCAGTTGTAAGCATAGATAGTTGCGTTTCCATAATATTTTGATTAGTGATCATTGGTATTTGGACGATCGATTTGAAACAAGCAGTTTCATATTTGCATCCGTTCTTCAGTTTGCTATTATTTTTTTGAGAGAATCATTTCGTTGAGAATCTGTTTTGATACTCAGAACAGATATGTCGTTATCATCGCGTTTTGGTCACTTTTCTTAGTATAGGCATTATTTTTTTTAGTAAATCGCAAAAATATCGCAAGATGGCTGATGAATTATGGAGTGGAATTGAGGCTGTTTTATGGAATGAAGCTGCCGGTGTATGGTTCGACTACGATCTCGCCAAGAGAAAACATCGCCGTAAATTCTATCCGAGTAATGTTTTCCCGTTGCTATTGGGTCGAGCAAAGTCGCAAAAGGCTGATAGAGTCAACTACTATTTGCGGTATTCATCCGGTGGTGCACTCGATTACAGGGGTTCGTTCTTTATTTTGATATATATCTCGTTCAGTGGCCGTCAATTTTCGATTGTTTGGGCTTTTTGTTGGTGATTCGAATAGAAGGAATACGATTGAGAGATGGTAAGCATGCAGGTGGTATTCCATCGTCGCTGGATAGAGAATGTCATGAGCAGTGGGACTTTCCTAATGGATGGGCGCCATCAACACATTTGTTCGTTGAAAGTCTCAGATTGTCATCAAATGAAGATCTGTATGAAATCGCACTGCAAACTGCCAACAAGTTTGTCCGCACGGTCTACAATGGCCTGATCAATCCATCTGGCAAGCGGGTTTGTTCTGTTGTTGAGTAATTGTATAGTAACGGCGTCGTCTTTCGTATTCAATTTTCGATGTGTTGGTTCAATTTTGAATACCGATTATATTAATAGCAGTAGTCAATGTAGTTCTTTTGAATACACTGCCAACGAATATCTTTCTTGCTTGATTATCAACTGTTTGAAAATGTGAAAAAAAGGAAGCAAAAGTTGTTCATCTAGTTTTAGCCGGCAGCTTGTTGGGAAAAGTATGATATACGTTTTGATGATGGTCGACCTGGCGTTGGTGGTGAATACCCAGTGCAAATGGGGTTTGGATGGACAAATGGTGCTGTTCTTGATATGATACTTCGATTCAATATCGATGATGAGGAATCTTTTAGAGGTATGACAAAGCATTTGAACAATTTTTGTAATTGAGACTGGTGTATGTGTATGGTGTTGTATGTGTGTGTGTGTGCGTGTGTATATTACAACTTGCATGAGCACTAATATTTCGATTTCATTCGTAGTTGGCTGTTCTTAGCTGAAACGGTGATGGTTATGACTTCGTTAGGTGATGAGATGAAGTTGAAGGCAGTCAATCCAATGAATTTAGTTCAAGCAACTAACAAAGGTCGATGAAATGCTCGGTGAATGCTTATTTTGTATTTGTTCCTTCTGCTCCAGGTTGTAAGCAACTTTAAGTTGTGGATTGTACTGTCCGAGCGTTTTAGAATTTTGTGGTTATCTGTGATCGAACACAAAATGTTGACAGTAGTCTTTCGAATTTCTGTGTGACAAAATAATGACACACTTCTGAATATTGCTCGTAATGAATAATCAGATTTTTTGATTTGATCTGATCGATTTTGCCGACCATAAAGTCAGTTCGAAAATCGTATTGACACGAGAATCGCTCATCGAAATTCTATTCCGTAGCCTTTTACTGAAATTACCTTCAGTGTTTACAACTCTCAGTTTGTAATGTTCTCAATTTATTGTGCATCTTTGAATATTTTCGTTGGTGCTCAACGAATGTTTGCTCTCGTGAATGGTCACTTAACAATTGTCGTAATGTAGTCGTCATATAACCACATTACAGCATGTTATTTGACAATTGAATTGATTGCAATCGACCGACGCCACTGTGTTCTTAGTTGTTAGTGATCAACTTTGTTTGGCTTATAAAAGTTGTTTGGTTTCGTTTATTGAACGTTTCTGCTTCAGGCTTCACGTTCATGTACAATCATGCACCTTATGCACTACTCGTTGCGCTCGTATGTCTCACATTTTCTGTGTGGTGAGCTAATCCATTGCCGTTTGTCATAACGCACTTAACTTTCAAGTCAATTATTTCTCCGATGAGCGCAACTTTAAATCTTTTACGGTGGTGCAAGCGAACAGATTTAATGGAACATTCCATACTGTTGTCTGGAATATATTCTCATTTTTCAAATAGATTAGTTAAATGTCCCCAAGACGGATAGCTATGAAATTGCTCTCTAATTTATACACAATTTTCTTTTAACTATTTTATGTGTTTTTAGGTGTGTATTCAAAATACTGAGAAATCGTCGAGTGACGATGAGGAGTGTTGCAAAAGGAGTGTGGCTCTCAACTGAATCGATTGAGGCGAGCCGACTCATCGATGAATGTGATGAGGACAACTGATCATTTTTAGCTTCACGAATGTTTTCGTTGCATGACTTTTTGTAGGAACTGCTTCTGTTTATATTGACTGATCAAACAGGAATAATTTTGAATTCAACTACTGAATGTGATTTCCGTTTGGGTATAGCTCGCAAGAAGTGGAATAGAACTGAAGGAATGAACTAATTTATCAAAGTTTCCGTTGTTGTCCGAATGCAAATGTTGATTCAGAGAACGTAATTATTTCTGATTGGGTCTTATAGGCGCTTTTTTCGTATTCATATTGTTTAGATCACGCCGATTCGTTGTTACTTTTTGTTTCTGTGTGATTCGTTGATTTTTGTGATGTTCACAACAATTCTTTGATGTTGCTTTGTTTTGTTTGTTAAGTTTCATTGATGTTGTGATTGAGGTTTACTTGTTAAATAATGTGCAATGATCCGATTCAAAAATGCATTCAAACTTTTGCTCTGACTTATTCATCATCCACCAAATATTGTCATATATGACCAAGAATGTTTTAATGTCTTAGTTAATCTACCCGTTTTCCGTTGGACCAGTTTTAAATCGAATGCCTTACTCGACCATATCTTGTGAGATCTGGATCTCTCGAAACCGATTAGTCATCACTGTATATTGTTTCAATAACTTTTTGAATTTTATGTTCACAGAATTGCATCTCTGTGAGAATATCTTCTCGTTATTTGAAAAGAAATATGTATGTTTATTTATGTATTACTTAAAGTAGTTTTTCTAAGTGTTCTATAGCTGTTGTTTACCAATGATATAATGTATAAATGTGATCATTTTTCAACGATTCAAACAAAATTTTCAATAGCTACACATTGAACTGATACGTTCAATTGTTTAGTGACTCGTTTTTTGACCGACCGCAATCATTTATTAATAGAAAACAACTAACTTTCTGATTGTTTCTAGTGATACCAAAATATTGCCATCGTTCCGCTTCACCAGGGATCAAAATCACTATTGTGTCACCGTCTGAATGGTCTCGTAAATCAGCTGATCTAGAAAATTTGTTATTAAATGGCAGCTGATCACTTTCATTGTTTTGTTAATCCAAATTTCACATTTGCTTCTCGTTCAACCCACCAACACATTCATTTCGCCATGTTCCATCGTGCAAAAAAAAGATTATTCTCGATTTACGTTGCATGTGAAATAGAAATACTTTCATAGAACGATGGGAAAGAATGTGGATAAGAATCTTACATGGGTTTTAAGTAGTCGCCGCTTGGTGTTGAAATCATCTTGAAGAGATTGTTGGCTTTAGCAGCTGTTTTCTGGGTTGAAAAATAGAAGTTTAGAGTTGTGTCATCTGAAATTAACGATGATCATGGTATATTTGTTTTAGCGTTGGTAAAGAGTGCACCTTTTAAGAATTGCAATCATTATCACGTAAATGCTTTTGAACACCGACGAGAGTTTTACATATCATGGAGCGTTTCATCAAAACAACATGAAATGTTTTCCGTTGTTTCGACAAAAAAATCGAATTTGAATGTGCTGCAATAACAATGAATATTGCTCATTCGGTTGGTCATCGTTTACCTCGATATGAGCTGAATCGCCAGTTTGTTATCTGTATTGCTGTCTCATTAACAAGCCAAACATCACCCTCAATTCCATATGTTTCGTTCCGCAAATGGCCAACACCAACACCGTTATAATTGTTTTCGTATGCACACGCTGGAATTATGCTCATTTCGACCAGTCAACGATGTGCGTTGCTTGACTCATTATAGACGCGTCTATAGTTTTGGTTTTTTATGGAAAATTTGACAAAATTCACACACAGTTATTTGGTGTGTTGTTTCGTCTTTACCTTAAACAAAAAGAACATCTATAGCCATTGTGTGCGATTGAAGACAAAATATGATTGACCTGCCTTGTTATGAGTGATTTGGTCATCAATGGGGTGAAAAATTTTCAGGCTGGAAGCAATTATAATATGAGAAACGAGATTCGACTCTGTCCCTATTCGAATTGCTATTGAAGAAGGAGATTATTGGAAAATTTGCATATGAAGTAAGAACTTGCGAATAATCGATGCTAGGCAGAAGTATAATGTGCAAAAAAAGAGATGCTTTGTTCTTTGAGTAGTTTGTATCGAATTTTTTGAGTGAGAAGCAATAAAATGCGTTCATTACTGCTCGTTTTATTGCCTGAATCTCATTTCTTGGCGATGTATTGTTTATAGAAAACATTTATTGGCCTATTTCACAGAAAGCATATGGATATATACTCGGCGATATGGAACCTACAATCAGGGAGTTTATTATCTATACAGTGTGTCTACAGTGAGATAGATATTAACTTAACATATGAACATTGCATACTCACCAAGTGATAATCCCAAAATAACCACCAATAAGATCATCAGGCGACTGCTATCCTGAAAAGTTCTTTCACTCTGAAAATTTTCTCAAGCGAAACTTAACGTGGGAAATTGGAAAGGGCGATATTCTGTGGTTTCTTTGAACAGTGAACGCATATGTTATCATCGAGTATTACTTGAAGTTATCGTTGAAAAAGAGTGCACCAGAATTTTCGAAGTCTCCCATAGTCCTCACTAGCGTTTCGCGAGGAAGGAAAAAGTCGGGGACGATATTTGCAGATGAGGGACCCCAAAAATGCGACTGCTTGAAAAATGTTCGCGACCAGGATGGTGAGGCCGGAACGGGATCCCAAAAATTCCCCGTTGCGCACCACAACAGTCCTTAATGCTAGTTTAGGACTGTGAACTGCTGAAAATACTTCTACAAATGGAACGCCCCATTCACGAGGGCTTTGATGCACGGAAAATGAAAACTTTTCGTAAAGCATATTTTCCAGTTCGTTTACGCTTTCGAACCCCGCGTCGCACGATGAATTGATGAAATGAATGCATTTCTAATAATTTCTAACCGACTGAACATAATCTGTTTGTGCACATTCCATTAACAAACCTAAAACTTCCAGTCGTGATTATAAACGTTTGGAAATGCAAATCGATGCATTCAACTAAAAGTAATGCAACATTTTATTCATGAAGGGTT